GGTAGCTTCATTCCTTCTACCAAGTATTGCACTATTCCCGATGCATGTGGGTGACCCCTTATGCACGTGCCACGTGCAAAACGAAGAGGTGTCAGTTTTGCAATACATGTATGTAATACATGTAATGCATGTAGTTGCAATATCTCGGTAACTACTTAGCCGATTGCGCTGAAAGTTGGCATGTAGGTAGGCACCCACTAGGAAATGCATATTCATGTGCCAGAGTTGGGGTGCTGCTGCACGTGCGCACGTGCAGGGGTCGTTTCCAGATCTCGAGAACGCCTGGACCGATGGCGCTCAAATTTGGTACACGGTTAGGGACCACTTAGTAGGGTGCCGTGCACAAGTCAGTTCGGACCCATTTTGCACGTGCGCACGTGCAGGGTGCCGCTTCCAGATCTCGAGAACGGCTGGGCCGATTGTGCTCGAATTTGACACATCGCTAGAGACCGGTTAGTAGGGTGCCGTGCACAAGTCAGTTGGAGGCACCCCCTCGCAATTTCGTACGTGCAAGGCCCACCCTCTCGCTCGCTCCGTTAGTTGCCCCAAAAGGCGTTATACTGGTGCTATAGGAAAGCTAGAGCAGAAATAGGAACACTAGCATGGATGGAGCTCTTCTGGGGAAGTTGGTGGGGCAATAAGTCGTCAAACCTTAAATGCCTGAACATCACGTTGAATAAGTGCCGAGCTGCGTCAATTCCTATCATTACGGATATAATATTTTGCATTAACAGACATTCCAAAGCTCCTCAAGGCGAAAAAGTTTGATTTACAAAGCAATAAACTCCTACAATTCAGCTTAAGTTGGCATAGGGCAAACCGCTTATTGGTGGGGCAAAATGGCAAGTTCATGGGGCAGCCAACTGAATAGGAAGCTCCGCCCCTGAGCACTAGTGACCTCAGAAATTCAATGTGCATCGAATGATATACATTTTACCATTTTAAGTGAGCCTAGAAATTCATTTAAGTGATCTTAAATCAATCAATTAAATTTATAAGTTCGTAAGCTCATCAAAATGCATCATATCTCATATCATTCGACTCGGCTGATTACAAAGAACGCAATTACGCCATGCCTTATTGTGTGCCAAGTTATGAGCAAAAACGTAATTCGACCCTCACCCATTTGACCTCAGGTCACCCAACCCTAGCGTTCTTTCAGCATGGAAACATCAGGTTGATCACATATTGATGCAAGCTGAAGTTGTACGACATGAAAACGTTGAAATGGAGCATGCATCGCTCATATGTTTAAAATCGTAGCCACTCGGACAAATTTCGGTAGAATTTGTCATGGCCTCTATATCACCTCAGGTCAATCGAATTTGAAAAACCGGGAGGCATGCAATGGATTTCGGTGAGCCTAGCATATCCTGCAACTTTGAATCATTTCGATGTACAACTCTGTATTTCATGGACAAAATAGTGTATTTTCAATGCCAATTTTTGCAGTGTACCGTTTTTTTTGCGACCTGATGAGTGATGACCTGACATGATGTGTTTTCACTGCTCTAACATGTATCTATCAAAAGTTACTGTCAAAAAATTGCTGGGGATTTTTCATGACCTGATATGACCTCAGGGGCACAAAGACAGGTCACGGGTGCCATTTTCCGTTTCAATGTGTCCTGTTGACCTAAACCGATGCTTAAGAGTGTTTAGAATAGAACGACGCTCGTCCAAAAGAAACGCATTACATGTCTCTCCCGTTGACTTTTAATGGAGAGGTTTGCAGAACTCCGACCTGCCCTTAGGTCACAGATGTCACAATTCCGAGATATAACATACTTTTACTCTCACCAATCGCTGATAGTTTCAGAGCGATCGTTCAGTCGGCGTAGCTATGGCGAGCGTTGACACTTTTTATGAGACCTTAAGGTCGCTGACGTTACCTCGTGACCTGTCCTTGAGCGATCCGGATCTGAAATTTTTACATGTGCAGAAAAATGGCCTAAAAACACCCCCCACCCTCCAGCAGCGTCGTGCTGGGGGGGGGGGGGGGGCGCATTTTTGACACTGCGCGCTGCCCTTTTTGGCACATCTGTTCATTTCATACATCTTTTCTGCACATGCTGTGAAAATGTCAGATCCGGGTCGTTCAAGGTCAGGTCACCAGGTTAGGTACGTCAATTGATAAGAGTAACAGCATGTATAAAATGCATATCGCGGAATTTCGATACCTGTAATGTAACCCAAGGTCAGGTTAATTTGCGACCTCTCCGTTATAAGTCAATAGGGAAAACTTGAAATGCGCCTCCCTTTGGAGGTTTTAAAGATAAACATGACACACTTAATCGGAAAATTGCACTCATGACCTCTCTGTGTGCCCCTGTGGTCATATCAGGTCAAATAAGGACCCCAACAGTTTTTTGCCAATAACTTTTGATAGAGACATGCTAGAGCGGTGAAAACACCTCATATATGTTCAGCTCGACGATACGGATCGACGGATATGCAGCATTCTCTTTTCCGGTCAGGTCATGACCTTGACCTGAGATAGATTTTTAAAATGAGCTTTCAAGGTCAAATTATAATTCATTGGACGCGTCTCGACGAGAGGAACAGGATGCTGGCAAAAGTAAGGTTTGTTTGTTTGTTGGGGTTAGGGGCGCACCGACAGCGAGGTCATTTTACAACCGTAAAAGTAAGGTCGTGATCCTCTTGAGCCAAAAGTAATTAAAGAAAAACGTTTATCGTAAAAACGGCTATGATAGCTTTTGCCCTCAGTGGCCGTATTCACAATCGAGGTTTACCTCTGATGGTCGCCCGGCGCCACGCAGACGCCACGCAGGCCAGGTGCCTTCTGCGCCGTTTTTACGCTATTTGCGAAAACCTTAGGGGGGGGGGGGGGCGTCGCATCAATCCCCCCTGGCCCGGCGAGGGTAAAACTTGGTGCACCTTCCGTCTGACCTAACCTATGGGGTCACTAGCTGACGTCAAAGCAAAGCCTAGACCTTGTTTTTCGGCGAAGCACTGGCTCAATTAGGAGTAGGTAGAGGCCAGAGGGGACCCCACCAACCCACACTCGCGGCCCAACCGTATGTAGTAATTGTCAATACGTTCAGCGAGGTCAAAATAATTGCTCATATTAACGTGACAGCTGTTTCTATTCAAGTCCTTCATTCTCACCCCCAAGGCAGGGGAGCATAGGGAGGATTGGGCTATTATTTCTTATTTGTATGTACAACTTCGAAAATTGTAAGAAAATGTGTAGTGAAATATCGGTTTCCGCATTCTTGACAGTGATGGATTTTCTTCTTAATTCATGTTCTAAGTGTTTCCATCAATTCAGCTTCAATTCAGAACAGTTGACATGACAATGAGGGTGAGTTGGGACACGTCCAGGAATCGTGGAAAGAATCTAGATGATTATTTATTTTCTTCTTTGAATGCATACAAAATCACCATTCGAACAACCAAAATTATATCAAAGATCTCAGAAATACACTTGCAATTTGGATAAAAACGTCGCTGACACCCAACGCGACATCCGGGGCCGGTAGGTATAACGGGCCAAGAGGGAAGTCAATGATAAGGAAGTGAGGAGGTTACGAGAATGAACTCAATCATGTTGCAAAATTTTGCTTGCCATTTCTATCGAACATCTTGAACACCAGCGAAGCTTTATCTAGTGCATCCTGAAATAAACCAATTAGCAGCTTTATTTGGAATACATATGGTAGGTAGCTAACTGATAAGTAATTGTACGCCTATAATCAAACACGTTTATCCATTCGAAGCCAAACATACATGACTCATCAAGGAGCGTTGCAAGCTTACCCGATGCCGCAGCGGCCGGCCGATTCGTCAGCCGTGTGTGTGTATGTGTGACCTTGCACTGCCGAGGACAGCAGGCCCGTCGCGGCCGGCCGCTATAAAGGCCGCCGCCGGCCGTCCACCGACACAGTATCGCTCACCTCACCTCTCCACTCACATCATGAAGCTGCTGGTAAGCGACAGGAGCTCATTTTCTATCGGTCTTCTGGCTCGGTCTCAGCTTCATCTCATTCCGGACTGATACGCCCGGCTGTCTGCTCTATAAAATAGTCAGATTTTCCATTCATTCTTCTAAATAAAAAATATACTACTGTTCGAATTATATAGCAGTACAAATCACTAAAAAACTTGCGCAGAAAAAACAACAACCTTAAACGGTGCGATCACACCATTCCTGATTTTTTTTTTGCGGAATTCGATGCCCTTTTACATTGTGAGTTAAATGGAATGTCCTTAAAGCTTGAAACAAAGGATAAAAAAAAAATAATTGGTTTTATCTAATGTTTAAAGAGGAAAATGGCTATATGGCTAATGTTTCACTTTCCTCAACGTTGGTGTCTCACAGTTGATCCGGCGGTGCCCTGACTGTCCGTGTGACCCGGCAATTGATCCGACCCTGACTGTCCGTGTGATCTGACAGTTGATCCGGCGGTGACTGTCCGTGTCACTAGGCAATTGATCCGGCAGTGCCCTGACTGTCCGTGTGATCTGACAGCTGATCCGGTGGTGACTGTCCGTGTGATCTGACAGTTGATCCGGCGTTGCCCTGACTGTCCGTGTGATCTGACAGTTGATCCGGCGGTGACTGTCCGTGTGATCTGACAGTTCATCCGACGGTGACTGTCTGTGTGATCTGACAGTTCATCCGACGGTGACTGTCCGTGTCACTAGGCAGTTGATCCGGCGGTGTCCTGACTGTCCGTGTGATCTGACAGTTGATCCGGCGGTGACTGTCCGTGTGACCCGGCAGTTGATCCGGCGGTGACTGTCCGTGTGATCTGACAGTTGATCCGGCGGTGACTGTCCGTGTGATCTGACAGTTAATCCGGCAGTGACTGTCCGTGTGACCCGGCAGTTGATCCGGCGGTGACTGTCCGTGTGATCTGACAGTTGATCCGGCGGTGACTGTCCGTGTGATCTGACAGTTGATCCGGCGGTGACTGTCCGTGTGACCCGGCAGTTGATCCGGCGGTGCCCTGACTGTCCGTGTGACTGTCCGGCAGGTTCTGACAGCCGCCATGCTGGCCGTGACCCTGGCCGATGGAGGTCACGGTTACCATGGTTACCAGACCGAGCACGTCGGCTACCAGAAGGTGCGCACCGTGGTCAAACACCACCCGTACCCGGTGGTGAAGCGCGTGCCCTACGAGGTCGTCAAGCCGGTGCCCGTCTACCGTCCCGTCTACAACACCGTCTACAAAAAGGTGCCCCAGCCGTACCAGGTCGTCAAGCACGTGCCCGTCGTCAAGCACGTGCCAGTGGTGAAGCACGTGCCGGTGGTGAAGCACGTGGAGGTGGTGAAGCACTACCCGGTGGTGAAGCACCACTACCGCGAGGAGAAGGTGCCCGTCAAGGTGCCCGTCTACGTCGAGAAGCCCAAGTACGGCCACGGCCATCACTAGGAAATAAAAGTGAATATTTGGAGAATGTAGATCATTGCGAGTGTCATCATATTTGTACGTTTTTGTGTGCTTACATGGACGATGAAAATAAACTGTTTTCCATATTTCTTGGAATGTTTGTCAGACATCAGATGTTTACACAGAGTACATAATTTGACACACAAAAGACGCGCATGATTAGTCGAGCTGGAACGAAAGTCTACATAGCTTAGCAGCGTAACTAAAATCAAACCAGCACCCACTGCGCTCGACTTAAGAACACGATTAGTGACCGGCGCATAGGGTGCCATGAAGATAAATGGCACCCAGCTTGCATGCGCGCCGCCGCACATGCAGGAGGCGACTTCCACACCTCCAGAACGGCTGCTAAAATTTGGTACAACGGTAGGCACTCCGCACTGGTTAGTATGGTGCTCCACAAAAGTCAATTAGGATACCCCTTCATATATGCTCATTGCTCATGTGCAAGACTCACCCTCGCCCTCGCTCGTTTATTGGCCGAAAAGGCGTCTTTTTCTGTTTTCGAGGGGTAACAATGGCAGAGTGAATGAGACAAAACGCAGAACGCATTTACACATATCTCTGCAGTTTGTACTTAGGCGACTTACGTACTTGTCGAACTTGTTACTTGGCAAACATGTTGAACGTTTTTATTGTTTTAATCCATTACTAGTTATTAGTTAATGGTTTTGTTCACGCCTGTCGTTTCCGACGCCTGAGCCTATGAAACAGTCTGTATGTAGAAGTGCGCAGCGCTACCAAAGTAGTAGTAACACTTACAGATCTGTACCCACATCCTCCAATAGCCTCCTATCCCGGCGAGCCTGGGTTCCGCCGTACTGTCAGGCGGCTCGTGAGATCGGCTGACGCGCTGTGAGCAGTTGGTGTATGTATGATGGGTTTGTGTGTTTAGTGTAAATGTGTCCTCATTGTGTCCGCATTGTAACTGACGTAGAAGAATGAAAAGCCATATTGTATGGATTTCTTTTGAATACATCTGTATCTGTATCTGTATCCTTATCTTTCTCATTGCTATGTAACGTGCTCACACATTCACCTCGGCTAAAAAGCCGCCAATCGAATGGATGCCGTCGTGTGAATAAATAGAAAGATAAATGTTGTCCGATCATTTGCTTTGGCAGGTGGAGTATAACACAAATGTTGGGAGCACCCCTTTGCGGACTGGTGATAGCAAGCTGCTCCTCTGGCTGCAGCAAAGGCATGGCCAATTTTGTTGGAACCAATCAACAATGCCATTAACCCTCGCCGTACTGATCCGTTTTCTACATACGCTGCTGAAAGGGGTAAGGGTGCGACATCCCCCCCGTCTTTTCGCATTTAATTGATCTAGAGTGTCGTGAGAGAAAAGAGCATTTGCGGCGTTACAAGACGCATCGACTGGTACCTCAGGTCAGTCGGTGATCTCTGATGTCTGGTCAGGTGTTCATAGGTGCCCTTGGTACGGGCTAGGTATTTGGTAAATAACAGCCGTTTTCACGACGAGCTATCCGGCGAGTGCACCTTATTTAACCAAATCTGCACCTAATCTCTTTTACAGCAAATATCTTTATTTTGGCCGTTTTCACGACGGAATAGCAGGCATCTATTTGATACCAATATAATCCTTTGGTTCCTCAGGAATTTTAGAAGTTCTTTTTAGTAGGTTTACCAGCTTTCGAATGAATGGCGCGTTAGTTTGCTATTTTTCTATTAAATATCACATCGATTTACTTTATCTAAGGATTTATCACTAACATCAACATAAAGCGTAAGCACAATTATAAAATTATGAAATTATTAAATACTAGTACAATAGTTAAAAAAAGATACTGAGTTGCCACACTACAAAAGATATATTCATTTATGGCGCACGACAGACATTTAGAAAGCAGCGCCCTGTTTTATTGCACGCTGCTAGCCGCTTCCATTGGGTTTTGCAGGCCGACGTTATTGGTTGTTACACGTATGATGTCACGCGACTTGTGGCCTATCACGGCTCTTTAATGATCTCCACTAAATGAATGCAACAATGGCCTTTTAAGTTGATATCTGTGGCCATCCGTCTATGGAGCGACCAATATGAAAGTTAGATGAATTTACCGGGGTTCCATGACTATGAGCAAGCAAATGTGTATCAGGAATGGATTCAGGTGGAGAATTGCGCTGGACCATGAGTGCTTGAGCGCTCCCAATTCCACGCCGGTTTGGCTTTGGAGCAGAGACAGACGATGCGGGTCAAGGTCACCGCTGGGGTAACGCTGGATTGGCTGCGCCCGAGCACCCGTAACGCGGCACAATTCTCCATCTATAGATTTTCCTATTCGCTCAGCATTGTGATACCTAGGTGTTCGTAATAGCAATTACTCTGCTTATGTAGGCTTATCCCCGGTTATTTAAAAGAAGTTTTTGTGAGGGGATATCACGGCTATAGGTCAAGGTAGGTACTCAGTTGCCCTATTCACGACTTTCAAAGAATGCTCCGATATCTAAATACCGCACAGACCTACTGCATTGGTGAATCTGACAAAAGGTCTGTGGAATTACATTCCCCCTCACCACACCCCTAAAAACTCATCCAGTGTCCAAAACCACTTTTATCGACTCGCCAAAAAAAAAAAAAAACACACACACACACACACACACACACACAAAGCATGGGGCATGTCAGCTCTCAGTTCATTTATCATTGACTTTACCATGGTTCAATTGCATTGCGCGATTTAAAGCACGTGAGTGCCTATATAGTATACATATATGTAGAAAATAATATCTACAGCAAAACATCCAAAATTACAAAGGCTACAATGCTTAAAAAGTAGGTTCATCAAGGAAGCCCATTTTTACTTGCGTTGTGTTCCCAACCATGCGATTCCAACGCGGGCTATTCGCAACGTCTGTTAAGCCCCGGTCACACATACACGACGCACGGCCCGCGCACCAAAAATTCATTCATTCTGGCCAGTGCGTCGTCCTGCGCTATGCATTCGTTACTCGTTCGTCGAGCGCGCTGGGCGAACGGAATCATGCGTCGTCATTCGTCGCGTGCGTCGACAATTTTTGTGCATGCTCAAAAATGTGCGTTGAGCTCGACGCGCGAAGGCGGACGCCAGACACGCGCGGAGCGCGTTGGACCAGCGCCAGATACACGCGGAATATACGCTAGGTAATCGTTGTATGCTCGTCGGTTGATGCATCGCGTACACCCAGCGCAGACATAGCGTGCCTCTAACGCATGTCTAACGGATTCGCATAGACTATAAAGACGTGGTAAACCAGAGCTGAGCGAGTCTGTAGCGCGCACAGCGTTCGTCTGGCGTATGTCTAATTGTAACCATAACAAGGTCCTACCTCCTCATTGCTCATTCTACCCTCATGGGCGACTCTCCTGCGTTATTGCTGCATAGTGCATGGGTTCCTCTTCAATTCCTCCTGCTCTTGATGTCAGAATTTAGAAGTCATTTTAATCATACATTATTTGTCATTGTCATTGTTTATCTCAGGAGCTGTTGAACCATCTGAAAACATGAGGATGTGCCCTCCTTGGGGTCCTACTCTGATATGACAGCAGGCAAGACGGGCTACTGCACCGCTGCCAAAAGCAGTTCGCTGGCTGTGCGTTGAATGCGCGGTGCACGCGCAGTCCATGCGTCCCGTGCGCTAGCAAGCCGCTGTGCATCCGTTGTGTGTGCGCCCTTTATGCGCTTTGCATTCGCCGTGCAAGTGCCCGGCGCGCTGGCAACGCGTTCGTAGCGCGTTGTGCATTCGTTGTCAACTTGCCATTTCCTGCGAACTCCTGACAAAAGTTGGTCACACAACAACGCACGACGACGCACTGGTCTTTTTGCAATGCGCCGGCCGTACGTCATGCATGTGTGACCGGGCCTTAGGCACGTTAACAACTGACAAGCCGCCACCGCTGCCACTTATTCATAGATGGTTGATATCGCAGCTTGGGCGTCAGCAGCGCGGCCCACAACGCGTCGGCGCCAGCGCACGCAGCTGTTGGCACTCGGCAACCGGTGTTGCGACTTAACGGCCGGCCGGCCCCATGAAGGAGAAGCTCTTGGTGAAGCTTTGTGATCGCCTCATAGCCGCCTTGGATGTCATCTTTCTTGGCAGATCCATCCGTTCAGATGGTACGGTGCAGTCTGGATAAAGGACGAAGTCCAACGCCGCTAACCCCGCGACCGCCACCCCACAACGTGGCCGCAGACCGAACGGGTGTGAGGGCCGTAAGGGCCACCCCGCCATCCGGTAGGTGGCTGAGCAGCCGGGCGCAGCGGCGACTGGGCGGCGGCCGCGCTGAGATGAAGTCCCAAACCGCCATGTCGCCATCACCGCCATCACCATTGCTGCAGCTGTTCCCAACCGCCTCAATCGCCGCCGTTTTGCCAGCAGTCGCGCCGCGGAATGGCAGAAGCTCCAGAGTAGCCTCCAGCGCCCCTCTCCGCACGTGTGCAGGTGCACTGCGGCCGCCGGGTCCGACGTCCAGGCAGAACATGATATTTCCATGCTGCTCCGACGGTGGGCTGGTCTTGTTTGGGCGTTCCTCCACTCTGACGTCGGTCACGCCTGCCCCGGCCAGGGCGCAGAGGCCGACGTGTCACCATCCGGTTGCAGTCCTCAGTCGAGTCGCAACGTGTACCTCTTCCGCAGCGTGGAGCGCGCTCCCGCTGGGCAGCGATACAGCCAAAAGTAGCATAGCATGCGGGCGGCCAGCGCTGCGCCGGACAGCGGACCCATGCCGGGGGTATGCCGGTCTCGGCCATTAGCGGGGTCGTCGGGGCCGAGGCTGTACATACAGCTGGTGACCGCGTGAGCCGCCAATCGAAGCTCACGGCTTATAAGCTCGACGCGGGCATCACACGCCGTCCCGATGGGAGCTCCACGACGCCGCCGCGAACTCCAGCGCGGCTCGCAGCGCGAAGACCAGTACGGACGGCCGGGGCAAACGGCGTGCGGGAGTCGCAGGCGACGTTCTGCGGACAGAAAGGGTTGGGCATAAGCTGGTCGGCAGGACACTCTTGAGCCGAGCCTTTGATGTAATTACAGATGATCCAGAAGCATGCACAAAAATTCATGACACACTATTCTCATTTATGTATTTGCTACATATGATATGATATACCAGCTCATGATCAGTGACGCATTCTGGGCAATATGTTCTAAAGTGAAGTAACTGAAGTTACAGCTTAAAAGCTTAAAAAAACAGCTTAAAAAACACACACACACATTTTTTTCTTTTTTTAATTTCTTTTTTTAAATTTAGTCCGGACCTTTTGATGGGAAGGATTCACAAGGACAGAGCCATCGCTAAGCGAAGCTTGTTGCGATGACCCTGCCCTCTACCCTCCGATCGCGCAATTCCGATTCTATGGCAGAATTTAGAGTCCAAAGTTTAACGTGCGCACAAAGCCGCGCACGGCCGGTCCCCTCGCTGACTTCGCCTGGCTACGGCCTGCCACCAACCGCAGCCATACCTGTCAGGAGGCCCATAATGATAAATGTCGAGCGCCCGTCGCGCTTCGAACCCGGACTGTTGTAACCGGGAACGCGTGCTCTCACCACGCGGAGTCCAACGCTCTAACCAACTGAGCTACGGGACCGGCTGAAAAAAAAAATTTAAAAAAACATTCGATAGCTTATGAGAATAACATGCCTTGTGTGCTTAATGCAGGAAAATATTTTTTTCACTTTTTTAGAAACAGCAAAAGAGTTGTCAACAAGCCATGTCAACTATCTAAACAATTTTTATGGAAACTGCTCTAGCTAGCTTAAAGTTCCACAACGTTTCCGGAGCACCGTACCCAAACTCAGTTCATGTTACAAGAAAAAACAGTAATAATGCCTCCTAATTTTGAATGAAATATAGGTATGAGTAATTTGATTTGGAAAGCAACAAATTTCCGCACATCATTTTAGCAAAATTACTATTTTCTTCAGCCATCAGGTTACACAAAACTATAGTAAACTTTATGATCTAGTTTACACAAAACCAAAGCCCCGATTTTAACAAATGTAGATAAAATTTAAACAATTTAAAAAAAATGTATCGTGGAGAAAATGAAAAGTGTAGATTTGTAAAGCCGGGATATTTCAATTTCACGGATTAGGCACTTAAAGAAATATCTTCACCTTTCTTTGAGCCACCAGCCTTCACCCAAGTTTTACACGAATGTAGTGAAGCAGACAATGTGGCAACCCAAAATTGTGATGGTTTGAGATAATTATGACGGTAAAAGAAAAAGCAACACAAGGTTCCTTACCCTCGTTTTTTCACATGGGTTCAGATGAGGCTTCAACTGTTGCCGACCTGAGGAGCTATAGGGACTTGAGCTTTCCAAAACTCAATTTCTAAGGGCACTGAGGAGTGTTTGGCTTTCACACGAATGCGATAGTAAGTTATATGAAGTTGACAAAGCAAGCAAAGCAAAGCATGATGCCCCGCGCGTCCGCCCGCGACCACGCCCCGCGTCCGACTCCCGACCGCCGCGTGACCCGAGGCGCCCGGCGGTCACGTGACCTACCGGCCGGGACTGCAAACGGCCCTCACCACCATTCTTGTATGACGTCATATCCTACTGAGGTGCTGATTGGTCGGAATTAGATACCTGAAGGTAATTATCTGCCGTAGTTATTTTTGTTTCATTGTTTTGCGTGTTTTCTTATATGAAATGTAATTAAAAAATTTGTCATATCTTAATCACCATTAAAACATAACTGAATAGGTATAAAAGAGAACTCGATATATACTTTCCTTGTTTTTAAGAATTCCGGAATTAGATACCCGAGGGAGCAAAGAGGGAGCAAGTTGCCACGCTGATTTAATACCTCATAGTCGAAAGGTGGGCTACTAGAACCAAAAATTGCTGTGTTTGTAAATAAATAAGTGATTTGAGGGCAACAAATGCCCGGATTTAAACTTCTAAAATTATTTTGAACATAAAATATTTCAGTTTGAGGGATGTTAAGGCCTCTAAGGGTAGGTACTTTTTAGGTATCAAATAAGTTCCTCTGCGAAAGTTCCGTCGTGAAAACGGCCTTTATGAATTTATTTCAGTGTTAATCGATGATACTCTCAGATAGTATGACAAAGCAGGCATATGAGCAATTAGTGCAGCCCAAGCTGATAGCTACTAAGAGACACACTGAACCTGATTTGACCAAATCTGCACCAGATGTGCACCAAATATGTACCAGATGTCTGTCGTGAAAACGGCTAACTTCGCCATGAATAGGTCGCAGAGCCAAGCTTTTAAAACCATCGTGCCATGAATAGGTCGCAGAGCCAAGCTTTTAAAGCCAAGCTTTAAAACCATCCTCAGGCGCGTCGAATGTGATGTTTTTATTAGTGTGAGGTCAATTTAGGGTGTTAAACTCAGGTCAACTTCAGAGTTCAGGTCAAAGCCATTCAGGTCACGGAACTGGTCAAAGGAGGTCATATTGCACATCAGACGGTTTGGAAAGCATTTCCGAGTCGATCAGTGGCCTTTTCTGTACTCGCTAGTTCATTTTTAATCAGGGATGATACACTAAAAACTTTTATGACTTTAGTAACTTCATACCTGATGTCATGGAAGGCCAACAATGCAAAAATGAAATATCAGACCTCGTAAGAAATAAATGAAATTACGATTCCATGTGCTTGATATAGTTGTAGCTGATACCCGGTGCAAAATCAAAGTTTCTATATTTTCCTATTTAATTATAATAGTGAGGTCACGTGACCAGCCTGACCTCTGGTGACCATTAGGAAATATCCTAGATATACTAGTTGTGAGACCTCTATAGTTTCTGAAAGTTTAATATCTCTGTGAAAGCTCCTCTGGCACTGAGAGCTAAAAACAACACCGCTGTTGTTACGCGGTCCAAAAAAAACTTCAGGCCTCAGGGGACAGCGTGCACGCCACATGGAGCAAGGACGGAACTTGGTACACCAGACCTCGCTGTACAAGTCCCTCATGCTTGACACCTTCATGTTTTGCAATGTTTTGTCGGCCCAGTCAGCACCTCAGACGGGTTTCCCGGTGCCGCACCGCCTGGCCGATTCGTCAGCCATGTGTGTGTGTGTGTGTGTGTGACCTTGCAGTGCCGAGGACAGCAGGCCCGTCGCGGCCGGCCGCTATAAAGGCCGCCGCCGGCCGTCCACCGACACAGTATCGCTCACCTCACCTCTCCACTCACATCATGAAGCTGCTGGTAAGCGGTGAAATGCAGTGCGGTTACATAGTGTTATGCAAAAAGATTAAATTCAACTTTCGGCTTTCGTCTTTTTGCCAACTTCTTTAACATTACCTGAAAAATATGTAAAGAATGGTCAAAGAATGTGGAAGCATATCGCTTCCATCATTAATTTTCAACACTAAAACCACAATGCGTGCACCATTGCGACTGTTTCCATAGCACGCTACCACCAGCCTTTCGATTCCCTGCAGCTTTCGCTGACGGTCGCCGCCCGTTTCAGGCGCTGCTGGTTGTCGTCGTCGCTGCCGCCGCAGTGGCCGAGGCCGACGGAGGATATGGCCACCAGACGTGAGTATCCAGCGCTCAGACGCGCCACTCCATGTAGCTCTGTGTCAGCTGTGTACACTGGCCGGACACCGGTACAGAGGTGCCGGCCGCGGCGGTCGTTCGGTGCTCCCCGCACCCGCTCACAGCCGCCCACAGATGGCCGGCGCCCGTGTCTGGCCGTTCGTCCGATATACACACACCCGTACCGGCGTACCCTGCCCCAAGTGTGACCCGAGCCCCGGCGCCGCTGTCCGCAGACACTACCCGGTCAAGACGATCGTCAAACACCGCCGCTACCCGGTGGTGAAGCACCAGCCGTACCCGGTGGTGCGCCGCGTGCCCGTCTACAAGCCCGTCCACAAGACGGTCGTCAAGCACGTGCCACAGCCGTACCCGGTCGTCAAACACGTGCCCGTCGTCAAGCACGTGCCCGTGGTCAAGGAGGTGCCCGTGGTGAAGCACGTGCCGGTCGTGAAGCGTGTGCCCGTGGTGGAGCACAAGTACCATGTCAAGAAGGTGCCCGTGCACGTTCCCGTCTATGTGCAGAAGCCCTCCAGCGGGTACGGTCACCACTGACCTGTGAGGGGTGGATGTGCCAGTGCGTCAACGGTCAATGAGATATATGTATGTGCTATGTTTTGTTAACAAACAACATTTAATTTTAAGCACTTTTTCTATGCGGGAAATGATTTATAAAGTCTGTTAAACTCATTTGTTTTTCTGTTCATTGTACGATCGAATTGGTATCGTGCCGATCTGTCGGCTCGCGGGCTGTTCTGCTTTGGTCTGGTCTATTCTGGGGTACAGTCAAACTCTTCCTCTGGCAATGACGTCATAGGCTAGTGATAAGGCCAGATAAGAGGCGCCACAACGGGTACAGATTTGATCAAATGGACGAACAAGACAAAAAGACAGCCTTTCGTCAGCTCCATGGACATTAAAGGGAAGGGGACTGAGGTTCTTGCAGCTCTATCAGGTCAACAAACCGGCCGATGCTATTCCTGAGGTGACCAGACTGATCTCAGCGAGCCCCTTACCAATATCAAAGGGTCCTAAGCCAGTTTCTGAGGCCTCCACGATCGCTTTTTGGCAAAGGTCGATTTCTAAGTGTATGTGTTACAGTGTGTCCGCGAAATCCGTGAGTTCGCAAATTCCCTGGTTGATCCTAGGGACTCCGCGGAGTCACGTAAACTCTCGTGAATCCGCGGAATCACTGCCGTGGCTTCGCGGATTTACTAGAGTTTTCAGTGCATCCGTGAAGTCACTGAAGAGTCGCGGGAATCTGCGAACTTCCTAGTTAGTCCGCGGATTAGCGATTCTTTTTCAGTGAATCCGCGAAATACCGATTCTTTTCAGTCATATACGAGTTAACATGATTGGAGCGGACTTCAGCCGTCTATAGTACTATTCAAGAAGGCTGCGTCTGTCCGTTACCGAGGTCCCGCTGCGGTGAATATACAGTATACACACGGCACATACCTCATGTCGGATGGACCCCCATGGTTTTTCGCTAATTTCTCGCGAACAAAGCAGCTGATCACGACGAAACTTTCGGTACCCTCGAGTTCATCAATTTTACACCTAGCCTAAAATTTTCATGACCCTGACCCAACTGACCTTTTGTCCTGTGACCTATTTCTTGAGACAATGTTTGGGCAGAATCGCGAATCGGCGTTCGTCATCTTACATTATCCGCACGTTTTTAGTCTTTTTGTGGCTTTAAACGTTCAAACATGTATAATGATGTTGATGCAATGCATTATGGTGGACGACAAGGTCACGTTCAGGTCAGTTCAAGGTAAATGACCATTGATGGAGTTAAGTGCTTGTGCGAGGAACATTGTAATAGTTATTTGAAAATATATTATTATCTTGTTTATCTTGTTTATCTTGTTTATCTTGATTATATATGTTCGACAAAGGCCAGTGGCCGAAATATCACATATTTTCTGTCAATAAAGTACATTTTTCGGCACTTTTTTTATTCAATATCGAGGAAAGGTCATGCTTATATATTTTCAAATAAGTAAATGACCATTGATGACCTTGGTTCACTTTTTGAGTTTATTTGTTTCTAGAGCGGTTTTTGGAGCTGATTTCGAATTTAACAGCTATTTGAAAATTTACGAAGTAGTTTTGGCGGCTTCGTAGCATTCTTCAAAGCTGTCAATGGTAGTCGACACCACTATGAATAGCAAGCAGGACGCCTATTGGTTGACATGACCTAACCTAACCCGACCCGGCATATCTGCATGAAGCGATCGTCTGTGATAAAAACTAACATGAAATTCGTGATCAGCACCCCGAAACACCCTGTAACATCCTAACTTTACGGAGTTCTAAGAGGGCCCGATTTTCCCAACTTTTTAAGTCATTTACCTGACTTGGAAAGTCAAATGATGACCTAAGACTTTTGCGAAATTGCGAAATTGGCGCAATTGCGAGGTCGAGGTCCACTCAGATAGTTACATAACTATTTACAGCAAATACCCACGTTTAAGTGGAATAGTGCTGCGCGCAAGTTTTTTTTATAATCTAAGAAAATGGTACCTATTTACAAAAAAGTTAGGATACTTACGTAACAATGTGACATAAAACTTACCAAACGTCCCGACATTTTTATTCTGATAGACTGATTGTACCTAATTGACATGCCGGCCAAAGCACAACACGACCACCATATCGGCAACATGATTCGGTTCCAAATTCCAATTGTCTTTGAGCCTCTACGAATAATCGGCATTAGCTCTAAATAACGTTTTTTTTGGACATTCTCTGAAAAAAGAATCGGTATTCCGCGGATTCACTGAAAAAATAATCGCTATTCCGCGGATTACCTAGGAAGTTCGCAGATCCCCGCGACTCTTCAGTGACTTCACGAACGCACTGGAAACTCTAGCAAATCCGCGGAGCCACGGCAGTGATTCCGCGGATTCACGAGAGTTTATGTGAGTTCGCGGAGTCCCTAGGGATTTCGCGGATTAACTAGTTACTTCGCAAACTCACGAATTTCGCGGACGCACTGTAACATATGCACTATGCAGGCCTCGGAGTACCCTCGCGAGTCTTTTTGGGACCTCACTCCGGTCTTGAAGATAGGATGGCCCACATAAGCTTCTAAATGCCCTCACCGGCTGTTCACGGCCCTTGGCCGATCTTTCAGGGCCCATGTTGGTGCCTGAGGACCCCATGCCGGCATCTGAGGGCCCACACCTATTTCTGAGGCGCCAACCATGCTGGTCTCTGATGGCGCGCCGACATTCGAGGCTACCGCCGTACAGTTACGTAGAGGTCCCTGCCGGTTTTCAAAAACCTTACAACATTTTGAGGGTCACACACGCTTCTTAGGGTCCCAAATAGCATCTAAAAACCCATACATTTTCTAAGAACTTATTCAGGACTCTGAGTCCAGGCTAATCGATGAGGGTCACACGACGGTACATGAGAATCCAACGTTGATACTTGAGGGCCCAACCAGGCTACCCAAAGTTCAAGCCGATCTCTGAGAGCCTCACTGACCCCAAAGGGATAAGTGAGGACCCGCAAAAAGGTCAAGTGACTAGTGAGGGTCTAGTTACCTGTCCTACAGAGGAGGAAAAAGGTCACGATCACCAAATGTGCACGGCAGATCGTGACCCACTCAGTTGAGTTGGGGCGCAGAAAATGACACGAAAGGACTCGCCATCACCTGAAGCTACCCTCCCAGTACCGATTTTACCCCTAAAGGTCATGCGATGACCTTATGCCATTTGACCCCCGCCACGCTGGGCTATTCATCATCCAGCTGGAGGGGGGGGGGCATATTTTGCCTCCTTGTCTAACTTCTGAACCGATGGTCTTATTAAGACGGGGAAAGCGGTTATCGAAGGCTCTCAGTAAGACAAACCTTTAGAGTCATTTTTTTTTGCTTCACCCGTGCCTTGGTAGGAGGGGGGGGGGGGGCTATTCCCCTCCTTCCAGACTTTTCGATATATCTCCAGAACCGCTGCGCTGATCGTCACCAAACTTTCAGCACCCTCCCGGGCATCAATTTTACACATATTGACCAAAAACATTTCCAAAGGCCATCATAGGTTGGTCGCAAATGACGTCAGAGTGACGTCATGTTCTACCGTTTTCCACACAAAGCAAGTTTCGCGGGAAGAGCTGTCAGGCCTATCGCTTTGAAGATACGGAAAAACGTTTAAGATATAAGAGGTGTAAAATTACCAGGACTACTAAACTGCTATCTGGAAATTTTGAAATTGTCGAATTTTGACCCCCAAAATAAAAAAAAAATCTTTAAATAAAATAGCCAAAAATCCCGAAAGTTTTTAAATTTGAGAAAAAAAAAACAGAATATATGTAATAGCCCCTACCGACTGCTATTCACATACCAACTTTTAGATCGACACATCTTTTTGGCCAAGTTATAGCGAAAAACTGTTCAAAATTGATGACGTCAAATTTTCAAGCTAAGTTTTTAGCAATTCTAGACTACGTAGCGAAAAACAAAGACCACCATTAGACTTGCCGTTACGAACTGCATCGAATCACTACCCATTTTATGATGTTACCTATTCAATTCAATCAATACCCATTATTCAATACCCATTCAATCAATACCTATTATGATGATTAGGTACCCAAAAATATCAACTTTGAAATTTGACATTTTTTACCTGCAATTGACCTGTCCTTCACCAGGAAGTGACCTAAACCGTTATTGATGGTCTTATAACCAACACCTTGAGTTGGAAATGAAAAAAAATCGTTATACGCCAGGTGCAGCCATAGCGCGGGACGCGACGCCAGCGCTGCCTATCGGACCCGGGATCTGGCCATGGAAGAAAAGAATTTTGGTCAGTGTAAGCACAGATTTTCGTGGAAATGAGCACAGCGTGAGAAAATAGGGAAGTTACATAAAAATGTCGCTATACTACGCTGTAGTTCGCTATCTGAGCAATATATCCCTGCATTTCTATCCATGACGGATAAAAATTGGACCTGGGATCTGACCCTGGAAGAGAAAAATGTTTGTCAGCGTATGAAGGGATTTTCGTGGAAAGAAGCACAGTGTGAAAAAATAGGCAGCTTACGTAAAAATGTCGCTACACTACGCTAGTTACCAACCGAGCAACATATTTCTGCACTTGTATCTATGGGAGAGAAAAATTCGACACGGGATTGGCACATGGAAGAAAAATATATTTGCACCACCAAATGAAATTCAGATATATCACTCCCGTTATGTACATATATGTTTAGTCTTAAATGAAACAATGTAACTATATTACGACAAACGGCATGACACCTCGCATATATCAACCCTCGCCCGCAGGGCATTTTTCATAACACGGCCTGGCAGGGGGGAGGGTCGATGCGACCCCCCTCGCGATTGGCTCCTATGGCACCTAGAAAAACCAAATTTTGTAGGTAGGTGGATCCCCTGGAGTTCTCGCCCCTGTGCAAAGTTGGTTGCTCTAGGTCAATATTTAGGGGGTTTTGGGGGGCATAAATGTAAAAATTTCGCTAAAAACAGGTCAAAAGTTTTTCGCTTATAACTTTTGATCTAATTAAGATAGAGCAAAAAGAAAAGCACCAGTGAACTCAGCACGTCAAGGTGCGTCGAATGGTATACTTTTTAGCTTGCTTAAGTGTACTTAAAGTTTTTCTTAAATTTTAAGTAAACTTTAATTAATTAATTAAGTTCAGCTTAACCAAATTGCATCATATCGCATATCATTCGATTCGGCTGATCACAAGGAACACAATGACACCATTTTTAAGCTCTAGCGTCATTATGTGCCAAGTTTTTGGCAAAAACGTCATTTGACCTCAGCTGACATCATTTGACCTGACCCATGGATAAGTACACAAAACAAAGAAGCACCAAGTGACCTGCTGTTAAGTACTGTGGTTTCAAAGCACAAAAGTGATAGAACGAAGCGGATATCTCCAGTATTTTCCGAATTTAGTATTTTCTCATAGGCTTAACATTAGGTACGACGTAATGACCTCTAACTGACCTCAGTGTCCTTTTTCATAAAGATTCTACAATCCGATTGTAGTTTGTACATTTGTAGTTTTCAAAGTACAATTTTACAAACTACTACTTTTCATAAGGCCTGGACATGCGGCATCCATAGAATTGTACTTTCGATCCCGGAGCGTAGTTTTGCGGGGCTTCGTCTCCATGACAACGGAGTAAACAAAAACTTCTGCAACAGTTTTCGAATTCGATGTTGTGTTGCAAATTGCGTATGATGTGCTGATAGTTTTTGCAATTTTTAAAAGAAATAATTATTGATAGATAATTTGAATTGCTTTTAGAGATCAGCCACCGCTTTGCACATGCATAGCTAGAACTTTTATGCTGAAAATATTAACATTTTCAACATTGCAATCATTTCAAGATATGCCTGTCTCGAGATTTGGTATCTGAGTAAGTCCAACAAGTCATTAGTTTCTTGAAAGACTGTTCCGTGAATTGTTTAGACAATAATGCAAAAATGGCTGACAAAGGTCTAGGTATGACCTCAGTAAGCCCATCCGAGAAATAGAGTGGCAATTATGGATATTGTTGACCGTCATAACTCCCTAGCGACGGGCTATGTGACCTCAAATTGCTTTGAGCCTTGAATTACCCGTTTTGATAAGTAATGCAGCCTAGTGAAACATGAAGCAGCATGAAAGCCAGCGAATAAAATGCCAAAATCAAAATGCAAGAGCATTGTGACGAAGAGAGAAGCAAATAGATAGAGCCGGAGGCTGGAGCCACCCAGGAGACGGGATGAAAACTGATACAAATACAAGCCTTTCCTACTGCGTGAAAGGAAATGGGCTACATCTTGAAGAGAAGGTGCATGGTCATTCCATTGTGTTGGTTGAAGAAACTGAGCCGGAAACGAATAGGACATGAGCGTAGGCTGTTCTTTTTTCAAGAGAATTTCATCCGCAAAAAAGACTGCCTATGTTGCTGTCAGATTGTGAGGTATGCTAAAAAAAAAAATGTTACATGAGTCGATCGATGGTAGGTATAGTACCTAGTCATTATGTATTCAGATATTTATATCAATAATAGCTAGGTATATATTTATCCTTCACTTTTAGATCTTATTCATTAACTTATTACCAGTATAACGCCTTTTGGGGCGACTAACGGAGCGAGCGAGAGGGTGGGCCTTGCACGTGCGAAATTGCGAGGGGGTACCTCCAACTGACTTGTGCACGGCACCCTACTAACTGGTCTCTAGCGATGTGCCAAATTTGGGCACAATCGGCCCAGCCGTTCTCGAGATCTGGAAGCGGCACCCTGCACGTGCGCACGTGCAAAATGGGTCCCAACTGACTTGTGCACGGCACCCTACTAACCGGTCCCTAACCGTGTACCAAATTTGAGCGCAATCAGTCCAGCCGTTCCCGAGATCTGGAAACGACCCCTGCACGTGCGCACGTGCAGCAGCACCCCAACTCTGGCACATGTATATGCAGTGCCTAGTGGGTGCCTACCTACATGCCAACTTTCAGCGCAATCGGCCAAGTAGTTACCGAGATATTGCAACAATTACAAAACTGACACCTCTTCGTTTTGCACGTGGCACGTGCATAAGGGGTCACCCACATGCATCGGGAATAGTCCAATACTTGGTAGAAGGAATGAAGCTACCCTACAAAAATTACCGCGTGTAAATTGGTCAAGTGGTTGCTGAGATATAAGCCTCGCAAAAGCGTGACCACGGCCGGCCGGCCGGCCGGCCGGCCGCTCATACTCAGAAATTTCCGTTAATCTAAGGAAAGACTACGCTCGCTTCGCTCGCTCCGTAATGACTGCCTACTGATAAAAGGTTCGTATGAGTAAGGAAAATAAATTGTTGATAAAATACCGTATTTTTATCGAATTAAAAACTCTGAATGGGCCCGAACGATGCTACGAATTTCAGCGCTTTAGCTCCATACATTCAAAAACGCCATGGGCGTGGGTCAGCCGGATCGAGGGGGGTCGGGTCGAGCCGTTCAATGCCGGCATCTTTTTCGGAAATGTGGCTCACATGAAGTTATATATAAACATGAAAATGATGAAAATAACCAGTTAATTGCCTTTTGGGCGAAGAACGAGCGAGCGAGCGAGTGAGCCCTGCATGTGCAGGACGCCAGGGTACCTCCAACTGGCTCGTGCAATGTGCTATGTGCTGTGCACCCTACCAACCATTTATTAGCTGAGCACCAAAGTCGGATGCAAGCGGCCCAGACGTTCCCAAGATCTGGATGTGACACCCTGCACGTGCGCAAGTGCAAACGGGGCTCAAACCAAGGCCATATATAGGGCCCAAACTGACTTTGCACGGTATACTCTATCTAACCGGTCCCCAACCGTGTACCAAATTTGAGTGCAATCGGCCCAGCGGTTCTCTAGATCTGGAGGCATCCCTGCACGTGCAGTAGCACCCTAACCGCAACACATGGGAATGCATTGCTAGGTGGGCGCCCACATGTATGCCAAGTTTTAGCGAAATCGCTTCAGTAATTACCTAGTTATTGAAATGGGAACAAATTTGGCACCTCTTCTTTTTGCATTTTGCACATGCAGTGGGGGCCACTCACATAGATCAAGAGTATCCGACCTTTGGTAGATGGGATGCAGCTATCCTACAACAATTACCGCAAGACAATCGCCCTAGCGGCGGCTGAAATATGAGCCTCTCAAAATCACTACTTTTGCAAAACAGCTTGAAAATGAGCACCCTTGACTTTTCACGTGGCACGTAGCAGCGGCGGAACACCTTCAATTAAGGAGGGAGGCACTGCCGACTTTTGGTCCCATTCTTTCCATGCACCCTAACCATTTAGGTTAGGCCTAATGTTAAAATGGCAAAATCAAAGAGGGGTACAGTGCCCCGGTGTCCCCCCCCCGTTCCACCGCCTATGGTGGCACGTGCCATGAGGGTCTCTGAAATGCATCAGGAGTAGTCAATTACGGAGTAGAAGGAATAGAACTATCCAATTAAAAAGACCGCAGGCCCAATCAGTCCAGCGGTTGCTGAGATATTAGCCTCTCAAAAGTGTTATTGGCCGGGCCGGACCGGGCCGGGCCGGGCCGGGCCGGGCCGGGCCGCTCAATAGGTACTGAGATTTTCCCGTTATATTGAAAAGACCTCGCTTCGCTCGCTGCGCTCTCTCGCTCGTATTAATACATATTGTGTATCTGAGCATGGTTATTATTGAATTAAAATATATTAGCAACGTTAAGCTGATTCCTATGCTTCATCTCCGAAATTCTACACACGGTTAGGGCGTTGTAGATTTCGATTGTATTTTCCGTCAAGAAAATCCCAAAATCAGAGGAACCGTTCTTTTTATGAAACAGATTGCTAGTTTTTTGGCTGATAATAGGGTTGGGACCTATCTGCATGCTCTTTATGTTTTGGTAAAATAAGAAAGCTCAGAATTTTTAATGATTTAATTTAAAATCAATTTGTTAAAAAAATGCCCAGTTAGCTCAAAAATTAATTAATTGTGACTGAAAACAACTTGCTTCTGATTGGTCGGGCTAATCATGACGTCACATGTAGGTATATAGCTGTCTGTATATTTGGCGCAGTTGAGGCATTCATTTTCTATGTATTTCCCTATGGTAAATCGGAGTGATTGGTCGTTTATTCAGTGTCTCTTTATTTTGCGCTGGTATTGCGTGGCTAAGAAGTTTTATCAAGAATGGCATATACTAAAATGTTCGTTTAATAGTGGAGCTTCAATATCTGTGAGTTTTAATGGCAAGTGAAAACTGATTTCGCTGTTATTTTATCTGGAAATTACTCATTTTTTAGGTCAATATTCAAAATATTTTACTGGAACAAGTTGACACTTGCTCTTGATTTTTGCACTCAAATCGCGTGCGAGTCAACTATACTGGGACTTGCAAAGAATCTTGCTGATTAATTAACTGTGTTGTTATGGCACTGTTTGCAAAGCATGGATAATGAAACTGTGCTACATAGCAATGCCTCAAGTACCTAATAAGCAGGAGGGACAAAGTTCAGAGTCCAATCGAGAAGAATCTGTGCAAATGCTACGAGGACCAGGCAGCTCTGATACGATGGCTAGTCGTCTCACTCCATTAGACCAGCTGATTCCTGACAGCACCGACTCGGATACAAAGATGGAGCTCATCTTCCAAGCCAGAAACCAGTTCTTTGATGGAAGATGGGATGCTGCCTCTGTCTGCTTTGTTGGCCACTTTGGACGGGGCCGAGCTCCGCTCCTTGCGTGAGCGGCTATTCGCCTGTCATCCAGAAATAGTTCCTTCGTCTGCTGGCCGTTCCCTGATCATGTGCAATACGGGGAGCTGTAATAAGGGAAGCAACTTTCCATATGAAAGGGGTGTAGGTGCACCCCCATCCACTAGAAATGCACCCCCATCAAGTCAAAGCGCACCCCCATAGGCTAAGCGGCGCCCCACACGCCGCGCAACACCGATTAGCTCTAGGCAGATGGCGAGGGTGATTTCCCGGCTCTGCCATCTCGCCTGCCATCTTCCATCTCGGTGTCGTGATGCTTGCGGCCTTGGGAAGCGTCCAGTCGTATGTAGGGTAGTGTAGGGGTACGGTTGAGTTCAATAAGGCCCTTACATTTGAAAGGTTTGAACAACCCGCAATCAGCACAACATACCACAAGTTAAATAAAAAACTACCGAACTCCGCCCAACTAATATTAATAAACATAGGTACAAGTTTTTGGAGCCAAACTTATCATGGCCTATATAAAAATATATCTCAAATCATAAACGTTATCGCGGGTGATGGCGCCATGATTTGCTATTATCCAAAACGGATGCAAAATAAACATGTTTGTATGGTATATGTATGTATGTTTGTTTTAAAAACGTTGCAGCGGCGCTGGGGACTGCAGTCTTAGATCTGGGTATGTTTGGCATCTGCAACTCTTGATACACACATTAACCCTATTTCGGACGGGGGAGGCCTTTCAGAATTTTCTTGTGCAATTGTCAAACGCCGCGAGACATTCAGCTCATATTTGGTGATTTTTCCTAAATGCTCATTGCGCACATCTCAGCAAAAAAAAATGACGGGTCAGGTCAGGTCAGGTAACCAGAACGGGTTTGTTGGCTACACCTAAGAAAGGTTTGCAATCACGTCAGAGCTTGAGCTTTTTTCACGGAGCTATTTCCTCTCATCAGGTCTTCAAAACAGTACCTCCAGTATGTGTCGTTTGTACCTATATCTCAGAAATTTTATCTGTGACAGGTCAGGTCAGAGTCGTGACCTTTACATTGCAAGCCTATGAAAAAATATTGAAATGCGACCTGCCTCGAGTAAACGAGTCAAAACTACCCAATTCTTTAAGAATTATGACAAATTATCTTATCTGTAGGTAATGATCCAGGTGCCATTTACTGACAGGCAGGCATCGGTAAAATCCTTTTTGAAAGGATTGCATTCCCAATCCACATTCCTAGTGCAGAAGTGGATTGCATTCCTACCCGCAATCCCCTTTTTTCACATGGATTGTGATCAAATCCGCAATCCTTTTTTGCAATCCTGTTGTATTATTATGTGCACTAGTGGATCGGGGGGAGGGAGGGGGGCATAGGGCCGTGCCTCCATCCCCAAATCACCCATGTCTAGTACCTACCTAATCTTGCGAGTAATTCCTATCTAAGGCACAGGTATTTTATGGGAAATATTTTTTGCCTCAAACACCCCCACCTTTAAACCTCTACCCAACCAGTGTTTTATATTTTTAAAACTCGCCCTCAAATACGTAATTTTGCCCTTCCTATATGTAGTTCATCAGCGTATATTATTTTGAGCGTTTAAATTAAAAGCGTTTAAATTATTTCAAGTTTCGATGTAAAGCCCTTGATAGCAAAGTACATTAACCCATTAATGCCGGAATTTTTATTTTTTGATTATTAAGTTGTCCTTAACAAATGTTAGTCACACGGGTCCCAGTAAGAAAACTGTGCAAGCTTAAAAAGATTGTTCCATCGGTTCTCAAGTTATAAGCATGGGTCATAAATGACCCAACCGGCATTAGTATAGTCACAAATAATGAGTTATCACGAAAACCGATTTAGCTAGATACCTTATTGTGTATACTGTATAGCGGTCTCAGCCAAACAATATTAAGAGGCACTGCATTGCAATGCTTTGCAACGTCTCATTGGCGAGGCCGTTGATGCCGCTGGCAGGCCTGTGGTGCCCCCGTTAGGCCTCTGGTGCTCCTGACACTGTCAGGGGCACCATAGGCCTGACAGGCCTGTGGTGTCCCTGGAAGGACTGTGGTGCCCCTGGGCCCTGACAAGCCTGAGGTGCCCCTGACAGGCTTGTGGAGCCCCTGACAGGCCTGCAGTGCCATTGCTAGGCCTGTGGTGCCCCTGGCAGGCCTGTGGTGCCCCTGGCGGGCCTGTGGTGCCCCTGCTAAGCCGCTGGTGCCCCTGGGTCCTGGCAGGGCTGTGGTGCCCCTGACAAGCCTGAAGTGCTCCCGACAGGCCCGTGGAGCCCTTTACAGGCCCAAGGTGCCCGTGCGAGGCTGGTGGTGCCCCTGTGAGGTCGATGGTGCCCCTGGCAGGCCTCTGGTGCCCCTGGTAGGTCTGTGGTGCCCCCTGGCAGACCTATAGTGCTCTTGCTAGGCCAATGGTGCTCCTGCAGGCCTGCGGTGCCCCTAACAAGCCTGTGGTACCCCTGACAGGCCCGTGGTGCCCCTCGGCCGGCCGAGTCGCCGGCCCGACCCGCGTCACGGCCCCGCACGACTGGTCCGCACATGATATCCCAATATCGCAGCACTAGGCCTGGGGTGCCCCTGTCAGGCCTGTGGTGCCCTTCCCTGATAGGTCGGTGGTGCCCCCGGGCCCCAGGGGAGGTCATGGGTGATCCATATGACCCCCCTCCTTTGGATCCGCCACTGTGATCTGATCACAACCCCCAGAAATAAATAATCGTATAATCATCAGTTGCTTCCCTTGTATTCAATATACGAGAAAATTGACAACACTATTGCCGGCTGGGTCATTTATGACCCAATGATATTTATCGAGGAAAAAAAGTTATCCGATGGCGACAAGAAGGGCAAAAATATACATCATGCCCTTTTTAGACAAATTTAAATGCCAGGTGGACGATCATTCAGCAGATAGTATAGTGCAAACATGATATAATATTACTTTTTGGGGCGGCGCGCCATTGCCAGTCACCGGCGGCTGTGCAGTCCCGTCGTTTTTGGCTCCAGAAACTTCAGTGGACGAGCTCACACAAGTTTTATGCGGCTCCGACGCTCGTCACTGAACCCACAAATCCAACAAAACACACGCACAAGTTCCTCAAAGTGCCACTTGCCTCCATTGAGAAAAAAACATTAAGATTTTGCTTTTGGGTCATATATGACCCAAGCGGCATTAATGGGTTAAGCCGATGAAGCCGGTCTCATAATTTTCAATCGCAACAAACCATTTCAAAGCACTAACTAATCAAACACAATCCGGATTGGATTGCAAAAATTGGAAGTATGATGCAATCCAATCCGCAATCAAATCCTGTTTTTTGGAATGGATTTCAAATCCAGGTGCAATCCACCAAAAAGGAATGCAATCAGGATTTTGCAATCCTGCAATCACAATCCTACCGATGCCTGCTGACAGGGGCACCGGAGAGGGTTATCTGAGGGCGGGATCATGTGAGGTGATATCTACCATACATCAATGCTCACAATACTTACAATATAGACAATGCTTACAATACTGTTACAATACTTACGATGAGACAAGCAAGCACTCTGCCGTTACAGTTCTAACTTCTGTTTCGAAAACCAACGTTACACACATTCGCTGCCATCATAACATGTATTGTTTGACAGTAACAAAATATAATTGACATCTGAACCCCAAACGGGCCGCCATCCACTCAAATTTTATAACCCTGACCAGTCAGGGGGCGAACAGAGGTCATCTCCTGGGCATTACACTCAGACCTTGCACAAAATATCTCACCTCACAGTGATCATCACAACATACCGCCGACTAACTAGTAGATTTCCAGGTATAGTCGACTACAGAATGATGTTTCACTTTTTACAGGCAATTATTTGCCTGGAGTGGTAGGCTGTGCCGCATCACACGGACTGAGTTCACAAATTATAGCTTAGTCCCAATGCTCACAATCGACATGCTTAATTGCGTGATAAACGGCACAACTTAGCGCTCCAGTCCACTGATAGCTTGAAGCTTCTGAGGAGTGGAACATCATTCTGTAGTCGACTATACATACTTGCATCAGCTCTTCTTGCTATTGCAGACGATCATCTCCTCAGGGTAAGGTTGTTCGGGACATGAACGAAGATCTTTTTCGGAGTTTCATGAGTGCTACTGCAACGGCCTGGCATAAAACAGGACTTGTACGCTTTTCCCTGCACTTTGTCCTTCAGTATATCACAAAATAATTGTTTAGAATCCATCTTACGCTTCTTTCACAGTCTCCCTTGCCACCGTAGGGCGTAGATAGATTGCTGTTGCTGTTAAGTTAATGCACGGTAGATAGAAATTACCTCGGTTCTCAACACCTTCAGTTATTTATATGAAAAAGAACAAAGAAATTATTAATAAGATTAGAGAAATGTTAAAATTTTAATTGTAAATTAAGCCAAATGCGTATTGGAAAGAGCTTTTGCTCTTCAGCATCTTCCGATTCACCATGTTTTTCATTTGAAAATTCGAGGTACACAAAATGTTTACCACGCGCTCAATGT